GACGACATCCGTCACGAGATAATACAATACTCGAAACGTCGTTGCGTACAACCAACCGATCACTCATCGTAGCAAACAAGCTTCAATATCACATTAGCGTCCGCAACATGAAAAATTAGAGGTCTCTTTGATTTCTTACGAAATTTTTGTACAAGTTTTTAAATTTTGCTTTGCCAAATACATATCGATTTAACATTAAAAGTATCGTTTCTTTAAAGGATCGAGTGATTAAATTATTACGAAAACAAAGAAAGTGATGAAAAACCGAATACTTTATCAGTATTAAGAATATATATATATATATGTATATATACTATATGATTATTGAAAAGTCAAAATATTTCAGACTCCTATCTTTTACATAAAAAATATACTATTATAATACAGCCTTGGCCAATACAGGCACTTTATTAAACATGTTATTTAAAATTTCAGCTTAAAAATTGATTTATGGAAATCGCTGTAAATTATCCTTTGTTTCATAAATTCTGTAATTTATATCGGTAACCAATAGATATAAACAATGCGAGTAAAAGAACTCCTGCAGGTGAATGGAAAAATATAAATGCCTAATATTTTTTACCAAAGCTGTATTAGGTAATCAAAATAGAAATGGGATCGACATGGACCGCTTGGTACTTCTAATGTTAAGAAACTTTTTCTCAACTGCTTAATCTGACATTCCCTTTTGGCAATATAAACTACGGAAATAATATATAAAAAAATTTCATTTTTTTTGTAGATTAATATTTCACCGATTTTAGACACGTTCTTTCATATATATAAATTCATTCGTTTGAAAAACGAATTCGAATAAACTTATGATTGCGACAGGCGAGTAATTTTAATCAACGTACGGATGTGCGAATTCTCGCAGCAACTGGCTCGAAATTTTTCACCGACGCGAATGATTAATTTCACCCTGGTTTTTTTTTTGTTTGGTATTTTGGTATCTGTGCACCGAACTTTTAATTTACTCGCGAGCATCGGCAATTTCGACATTCGCTATTTGCCAATGAAAAGGGTAAAGTAACATCCATTTTTTTATTGTATACATATCTCTCGCAACCATCGCGATCAAATATGATGCATGCGTGGCTATAAGCGTTCGCAAAATACAGAGAATAGACACACGAGATTCTCCTGGTCGCGAATTCATCTATATCTGCGTTCTCATTCATCGGTTGGGTTCATTCCAAGTAATCGATTATCGATCGTGCAATTAGCATTACCGAGTTTTTTTTACTCCGAATCGGGAAAAGGGCTTAAAAACCGTCATCGTTAACCACGTCTTTTCGCAGCGCGTCGCGCACGGTGCTTTTTTTTTAATTCCATCGCGATGTCAATCGGACTAAGGGAGGAGAATCATTAAAAAAAACTAGATCCAGAGAAAAACGAAGCGTACGGGTCGTTTGACGAATCACGAGGCGGCTCTTGGATATACCAACGTGGGAGGCGCACCGCGGGAGGAAACGAGGCGGGGGGGATGATGTTTTTTTCCTCGGCGGCGCCTCTTTAATTTGCCCTCCAATTAACGGACGGGGTCCTATTTGAAAAATACCTGCCACGAGGGCTGGCAATTATACTTCTTCCTTTTTTTTTGCGTCACGAGCGCGTTATTAGCGCTATCCGTCCAACCCCCGCTATCTCCCTCCGTCCCTTGCATTTCTCCTTCTCTACTCTGACTCTCGTTTGCTCTTTCCTTCCGTCCACCTCTCGTACTCTCTCACCTATTTCCTCCATCCATTTTGTCTTAGTGCATGTGTGCGAGCGCGAAGGGATGAGGCGAGAGTGGGCGAGAGCGTATCCGCACGATTGTATGCGTTTTACGTGTATTGCGGAGCACGCGGGTGAAGTGATGCAGCGATGGGACGGGGGAGGAAAAGGATAGGGCGAGATAACGAGATAGAGGAGGACAGATGAGACGGAGAGAGAAAAGGGGTTGGCGGACGGTAGCGAGAGAGAAAATTGGAGTGAGAGAGCGGGGCAGTAGTGCGGTGTGGTGGCTGCGGGTCGCGAGGGGCCAGAGAGGAAAGGAGTGGCGTTTATAACTCGTGCCCGGGTCTCCTGGCTTTGAGAAGGCCAATTAGCAGCATAAAGCTGCAGCTCGGCCCCGAGGCCGAGGATGTTTGTATGTAATAATGGATTGTTACTCAAAGTATCCGGCTAATTAATTAAGCCCCCGCCGCGCGTCCGCTCGCCCGTCGTCGTACTGAACGGCAACGGTGGTGACGGTAGTGGTGGCGGCGGCAAAGAGGGCGAAAGCAAAGTGGGCTGCTGGCCGCCGCCACCCCGATACGTCACCCTCGCTCGCCAAGTGTTACGCGGATCACCTCGGAAGAACGTAACTGCGTTCTCGCGATCTTCGCGCGGACGCAACGACCTAAATCGGATACAATCGCGTTTTTAACTCGACCACCTGGTGACAGCATAAATCGCGAGCAACTCGCGGTAGAGAAAATCAGATGCAACCTACAGAATGGCGCACGAAATGTACTATTTAGTGATTCAATTTTCAGGCCTTAGTAATTTTATATCTATCAGTTCTGCACACTGAGAAAACATTCACTAAATTTTAATAAATATTTCTTTGAATAGTCCTAACAGAACATTTACTAAATGTAAACACATATTTATTAGATACAAGATTTAATTTGATTCAATTATTTTTTTCATTCATCGAAATATTTATCATATGACTAAATATTCCGCTAGGACTATTCAAAGAACTGTGTTTATTAAAATTTAAAAACTTTTCCCTTCAGTGCACTAATTTTGTTAAAACTAAATGTGTTATTAAACAAGAGAAATAATATATTCGGTAAAACGGATCTCTGTGCTTAAATATTTCTATGTGAATTTATGTACATATTTGATTTTACAAACCGCGCGTTGAAATCTTTTTCGATCTTGAAACGCATTTATGAATAAAATCAAAATAGTTATATCACTTATTAAATTGATAAGCAATAATTTTTAATGCTAATAAGCATCTTTTTATGAATATTATTAATCTAAATGTTAAGTAATCTGCGAAAAGTTTAGTGCGAAAAATATTGTTTGCGGAATCAGAAATATAAATTCAGAGAAATATTTAAGCATTAAGATCCGCTTTGACCGCGAATATAAGATTTGTTTCATTTAATTAGATTTATTCTCATTAGTGTACGAAATTCATACTATAAATATGTTATATAGTATTTAAACCATGATGGCATTTCGTACGCCACCTGTAGGTCCATGATTTACGAGAATTAAAAGATATAATTAAAATATATCATTGTCGCTCTCTCTCATTTTACTGCATGAATTTGAAATATAAAATAGAAATTTTACGTGATTTTACACGAAACAAATAAACATCGAATATCAATTACTCATTGTTAACATTCCCAAGTGGGACGCAAAGGTTAAAGTTTAAAGTAGCTCAGTTTATACTACATCTTAGGTTGGATAACGCTTTTAGTTTCCTACTTGTGAGCACGAAATGCGGTTAAAATAATTAGCGTTGTAGAGAAATTTATTTTCGCCCGAAAAATGCTCGCCCAGCGCGAATGCTCCGCGGGACGGTTGAAAGACGGGCTGTTTCGGATGTCGGTAGACGAAAAGAACAGAGAAAAGAGAGAAGAGTGAGAGCGAAACGAAAAAGAAATGTTTTATGCGCCGTGAAAGATTCCGGAGGCGCTCGTGACGTAGCACGTCGGTGCTTATTGGAGTCTGGGTGCGCGAGAACGAGCGGCAGGCACGGTTCCAATTAGCTGCGCTAATTATTGCGTGCTGTCAGCCACTTACGACGGTCGGAGACGCTTGTAACGGGCGGGATACGCGCGCACTGCACACCAAACGTTCACGGTGTGTCGCCCCTTAAAAACACGCGCAGATGCATACGAATCGTCTGAATGCGCGGGTAAGGTTCTCATTAACTCAGGAAATCAAATTTTGAGACGATTTGAAACGACGTCGCATATATATTTTATATATATATATATATATATCGTCGCAGGCATATATTTTTTTCTTAGTCCATGAGTCCCTGTCGCTTTGCTGAGAATTTTTTTCCACTCGTAAGTTTTAGGCATCTAGTGATTCTTTTAAATTCTAATTAACTTAAATTGATAAGTCCGTACAGAATTTGGGACATCCAAATTTGAATCCCGATTGAGATAATATTTTTCACAACAAATTCTGTAGTGTTTTAAATGTGCTTATTGCATCAGTAATATTAAATTCCTTATCAGTTTAATTTGCGATTCAATTTGTGATATTACGTGCTCCAGTTTTAGTCTAGGACTGTGTTTCAAAACAAATAAATAATCGGCGCTTATTTGCTCGGACTGAAAATTCTAAAAACTCACACAAATATTATTAAGCACAACATGATCCAGCTTAACCAAATAGCTCTCTTCACCCATTTGTGTCGAAATTTTCGTTTTTATTTAATATTGTTTATTTTAAATTTTAATGCTAACACCCTCGATTACAGCAACGGGTTTATTTGGACTCAAAGCGAATATTTTAGATAGTTGTACATTCTGTATTATTGGTACTATGAGATTCTAAATTATAGATAAAAACACTGTAAACTCTATCAGTCGTCGTAAAGCGAAGTTTCATTTGCATTCTGTATTTCAAACAGGACAATTTAGAAATCTGATTTAAGTTATTGTAACAAGTATTCATCAATTTAACTAAAACAATGGAATTAAACAAAAGGATATATTAAATTTGCTTCAAACTTAATATATTTAAGTACACACGTTAACACGTGAACGCTATTTAGTTTGAAACTAAGCAATCCAACATAAACACACAGACGTGGTTTGGTTAGATGTTTTTTTTAACTATATGTTTTGTATTAAAATAATATACTTGATATTGGGAGTTAAAAATAGCACAACGCTCATTTAAAGAATTAATTGCAACTTGATCCTTTAATATTTAACAGTGTAATTGTATCAATTGGATTTGCTGTTTCAGACGGCGTTTCAGTTGAGATCACGATGACTATGGACGTGAGCAAATCCGAAACGAATAAAAATGGTTCGACGCAGCAGGAGTGCGCCGGCTGCGGGAAGACAATTACGGAGAGGTAAACGATAACATACAATACATTGTTGCATGCTCTTGAAGAAAACATTTTGTCTCCCGCCTTTTTTTGTATTAATAAATCTGTTATATGTTGATTATTTTGTCGCAAGAACGTAGATATCTCTGTCCGATCTCTAAAGCGGTCCTCTTTCGCTTCGCTTAAAATATTCAGTCAATGCTTTTGCGTAAATATATGTTAAATATCAAGATAAGAGAGGTATTTTCAAAACTTAACGGCCGGTAAGAACGAAAACTACGGTCGGTCCTTCAGGTACCTCCTCAAGGCCCTGGACCTCTACTGGCACGAGGACTGCCTCAAGTGCGGATGCTGCGACTGTAGGTTAGGCGAGGTCGGCTCTACCCTCTACACCAAAGCTAATCTTATCCTCTGTAAGAGGGACTACCTCAGGCTCTTCGGGAACACGGGATGCTGCGCGGCATGTAATAAGCAAATACCGGCGTTCGAGATGGTCATGAGGGCCAGAACGAACGTCTATCATCTCGACTGTTTCGCCTGCCAGCAGTGCACTCATCGGTGAGTGCGAATGACAGTATTACCCTTATTACATTACTAGCTCCGACTCTATTAGCCGAGACACTAGAAATTATCTTTATTATTAGATCCGGTCATTCTTTCAGCGAGATTCTCCTCGTTTATTCTTGTACGTTTTCCTCGGTTTAGACTGTGAATTTGTGACAGTCTTATTTTGAGTGTACTCTCTAAATTTCTTAGAGTGAAATTCCACTTGAAAATTGGAGCGATTAACGAATCGCTTTTTCATTCATATACACCGTTAAATTTATAGTGTTAAGTTATATCTAATTTTATATTTTTAACCGTTTCTGTAGGTCGTCATTCTCTTAGTATATCGTTAATTTAAATAATGCAGTTACTTTTAACGCAAGAAAATATATTAAATTTGATTAATCAAGCTCAAATTTAGTTTATCATTTATCAAACACATACGATAATCGACGTTATCTAGTTGAAAAATAAGTATAGAAAATGGATTGATTTACATTTTGACACATATGGAAGTTAAAAATAAAATAAAATGTTATTTAATTCAAGGAATTGGACGAGCTATTGCTCTCCTTCCATATCTAATACTACAGTGTAATGTGAATTCTTCCATTGTATTGCGGGGTAATTATTTTTATTCGTAAAGAGTGCAGAATCTGATATGCTCTGCATCACTGTAACAGTTGGAAACAGAGCATACATCAATCAAGAAAGAGTTCAGTAAGTGAATCACATTGGTCGTCTTTGATCATCTCGTCGATGTTGTGTTGAGTTGATACTATAGAAATGTCGACAACGTTTTCTTCTATAAAGATAAAATATATTAATAAAAATTTATGTATATTTAGTTTATAAATATATTTTTAGTTAAGACTCCTGGTCTCATACTGAAGACATCTTGACTAATGTTTCACTCCACACGAATGAAGCATTCATTATAGTTGATTAAACATTCCTTATAAAAAGTGAAACATCACTTTTCCGAATGTGTTTTCACTACCAATTGGAGTAAAGCTTCCTTTGTTTTGAGATTTCATTCTGAAGAATTTAGAGAGTAGAAAATGTGAAAAGAAATACAATGCTATACAGAGAAGAGATATTCTATTTCGGTACTATGCAAGCTGCTAGAATTATTTAGAAATCTGCGCTATTTTCTTGTATTAAACAACGGAATGTCGAAAACAGAAACAAAATTCGTTGAGGCTCGTCAATTATTAAAAATTATCGCGCGACGTAAAACGCCGCGCCGGACAGTCGGCGGAAAACTCGAATTGGCTACCTCGCTTCCTGTCCCTCCAACCCCAACCTACCTACCACCCTCCTTTATTTTCTGCTATTCCCTTTCATGGCGATGCATCTTTCGCGTCGCGTGGACACATATGTGAAGACGGCCAACGGTGAAAGAGACTACTAGTCTGCGAGGCAAAGTTGATGGGGAGAGAGGTTAACGGGGATAGGTTGCTTTACAGGTCAGCTGGGAAATCACCCTGCGCTTTCCGCACCATGACCTCTCCTTTCTTTCGCGCTGCCGTTTTCTGGACCGATTCGGTCGTGAAACCTCACGGCACGTCTTCGCGCATCCCACAACTTCACTTCTCCTCCCCATCTGCTAAGATGCGCGATATATGCTATCCACTTCAACCATCTTTCTTTCGGTTTTATCATTATTATAAAGTTTTTTTGTCAAAAATCTTGTTTATGAATACACAGTTAGTTAAGAGATTGATCTTACACTATTAAATTCATAATTATATTCCCAAATTATATCCAATTTGAATTGTTATTAATTATCTTTATAAGCCGCTATCGCTTCTACTCTATATGTTATTAATTCAGCTAAAACAATATAGAGTTAAACAATTAAATTCAAGAAAATATATGAAATTTAAATAAAATTTAGTTTATTATTTATTAAATGTATATATTGATATGGATGTTGTTTACTTTGAAACTAACCATAAAAATAAATTGATTTACATTTTGACACGCATGGAAGTTAAAAATGATAAATGATATTTTTTTAACTCAATAAATTGGATTATTATATTTCGCCTTTGATATCTAATAGTGGTTCTAAAAAAATAATTAAAATTTTTTATCGCTACACAATATTATTGTTTTATGTAATATATAAAATAAGAAAATAGTAATGGATGTAATATATATTTATTTAATTTATTAGTAATTTTGGAAGCAAGGAAAGAGAAAAAATAATATTGTTATAGTCCAAACTATTAACAAAATTAATTAATAGTACTTGTCAAAAACTATTTCTGAAATATATATAACTAAAATATGTAGTTGACAGGTTTTACTTTAATTGATAAAATTGTTACTTTTACCTAAATAATGAAAATTAATCTAAAAGTTTACGAACTGGAATATCAAAGTTATCTATATTTATTGTTTGTGTGTCAGGAGTGTCTTGACATTCCGCGACCTTAAAACTTTGTCGATATATTCGTTATCGATTGACCTCTTTAATCCTAGCACGGTTTGAGACTTTTTGTAATCAATGAGTTATTACGAACTGAACGATGAACTCTGATGGGAGATTAAGCATAGATCCAAATTTTAATAGGTTTTGAATTTCGCCTTTATAAGTTTCTTCTGTATCCTAATACAAGTTTATAAGTTTCATAAGTTTCTTGGCGATATAAAGGGCTTGCTTCAGGGCGAAGATAAACGCTCTTTCTCTTTCTTCGTCTCATCTATACTTTATCTTTCATAAGAGACTAGTTATTTATGTCATAATATCTGAATATCGAGTATTTTCACGTTCGATTGAGATCATTTTCGCGCGTAGGACATTGATATTAACTCTTTTCAAAGGTCGTACAGATATAATATAATGTTGCTCCATGGTGACTTACGAGGTACGTAACATTAAACAAAATCAGTTGTAGCGAATAAGATCAGTCATCGTGGATTTATCTATCAAACTCGGTACGTTATCACCCGTTATTTTTTTCGTCGGCCGTTTTAATTATCTCCGGGCCACGGTACGACATTTAAACAATATGAGGCAACGAGACGAAGCGGCGGAGACCTGTCGCGATTCAATGGCGGGAAGCGTACAAACGACTGCACAAAAGCCAGTGGAGCGATACAATACTGGCTTACGGACGAAGTGACTCGTTTTGGGGGGAGAAGAGGTAACAACGAGTAGGAGAGAGCAGGTAGGGAGAGAGAGAGAGAGAGAGAGGAAATCTGTAGCCGTTCTGTCGGTAGAGAATGGCGACAGAAAGAGAGAACAGGATATGATACAGGAGCCCGGAGGTGGAGGATGTAGTTTGAAGCCAATAGCAATGGTTCGTCCAGGCGTGTGGCAAACGTTGCGCAGCGTCTCAAACAATGTGAACAAAAGAGCATCAATTTTACGTTTTTATCGTCCGGCATTGTCTATCTTCGACAATGCGTCCCGGTCGCGCGCGACTCGCCGCGAAACTGGCCTGTAAGGGGTAAGGGGAGGGTAGCTCGCACGTCAGGATCAAAAACGAATTCGAACGGAGGGGTGTGTAGCCATTGGGGATCCTTTGGAAAGAATCGCGGATGCGTGACATTTGCAGACACAGAGTATAGAAGCCGGTCGACGTTGTCTCGGGGGTTGGGGAGGATACAAGCGAAGAAGGGGAATTGCGAAGAAGTAAATTGAGACGGTCGCGCACTCAGTCCGGTCATTATATTTGTTGTAACAATCGCGTTGCGTGTGTCGCGGATGATGTACGAGCGCAATTAAAACGCGCGCTCACGATAAAATATGCCTGATGCGGAATATTCGGTGCGACCCCTACGCGCCTGCGATCGTGCCGCTAAAAAGCAGGCAGGTTGGTAGGTAAATTTGAAGAGGGCAATTACTCGCAGCACTGCGCGTCCTGTAACGAGACGACTTAGAGTTTGCAATTAAACAGCAACAATTACACGGGGTAACTTTAGACTGTAATAACACAGAATAAAGGGTTGCCAGTGGCTGCGACTAGGCTCCCACCCTCCTGGTTAGAGGATGATTTACCGATGCAATTAGCTCTCTCTCTCTCTCTCTCTCTTTCATCCTCGACACGAATACACACACATACGTATGCATTAGCGCAAGCGCGGGCATCGCGTATTCGCTTCCCCTCCTAATTTCTTTGCTTCCGTCGAATCCGGTCAAACATAATGACTACTCGATTAAACTTTCGCTCTTGCGACTTGGATTTGATATTTTGCCGGTGCGAGACTCAGCACGAAATTGCAAACGATGTGGAATTTCTTGTTCGGGAATAATTGTTGTTTGCAATCAAAATTATAGCCGTAAAGTATTTTTTACAATATTATTTTTGAAAATGATATTAATCGGTCATTTTGCTTCGTTAATAAAAGAAAGTGATACAAATCAAAAGTTTTTTCAGATAATAAAAGTAAATGATGAAAACTAATATATTTTCTGTGGATATATTATACATTTGTAGCTCATATTTGCTTATATTCGAAAAATATCGCATCTGTGATAAGGGATGAAATTTGCACTATTCTATAATAATAGGGTTGTTCATTGCCAGTGTTGCTAATTCTTTAGATGTGTCACTATCAACGTAACAATATAGTACAATCGATCGCGACGCGTTATTGCTCATGCTTTTTCATTATATTTGATAAGATCGCAGCAGTTATCTATTCCGAGGAGACATCCGGATTGCGCTCGCGTGTGTGCTTTCGGCACGACGCGACGCTCGACCTGCAATTTCCGTGATTCACGCCGCGGTGCGTCGAATAAAGATTTTATCTGAGAAACTGACGAGACGCGCACGGCAAGGCCGTTGAAATTTTGATGCGTCGATGCTCGCGCGCAGAAGACGGTATTACTCTTTGAAGACTACGGCCACGTCGTCGGAACGGCTCGTAAAGTGCCCCTTTAACGGGGTCACGCATTGCCACCGGTGGTATCATTTATTGAATCGCAATGTTGCCTTTGCGCCTTTCTGCATCGACCGAACGTTGTCGTCTTCGCATGCTTCTCTCTTTGCCACCTC